TTTTCCAGTGTCCTGCACTAGAAAGTAACCTAAACTAATTGGACATAAGTATTTTTCAATGCTCAACACTAGAAAATAACCAAAACCAATTGACACAAGCATTTTTCAGTGCCATGTGCTAAAAAATAACCTATACAACTTTGGCAGAATTATTTTTCAACACTTAGCATTAGAAAATAACCTACATCCCATTTTTACCGTTTAACTTTGACAATTCTAAATATTTTCCAATCTTTTGAATTGGAAAAAAAAAAAGTGAATTTTTTTTTTTTTGTTTTTGAAATTTTTCTTTATCAACAGAAATACAAAAAACATTATTTTTTAACGCTGAGCATTAAAAAATAAGAAGGCACCAAACCAAATTATGGTGCTAAATTATTTTTCAATACCGAACATTGGAAAATAAGTCTCATTTGAAAATTATTTGCAAATTTTAAATATTTTATAGCAAACTTTAATTTTCAACACTTAGTGCTAGAAAATAGTTGGTTGAAAAAAATCAAATTTCTAGTAGTGTTAATTTAGATTTATAATTTTCAAGTTTTAAATAAAGGAGAGAAACTATAAACATAATCATAAAACCGAAACTTTTTTGCAAAGATAAAAAGAGAAGAAATATAAGCAGCTTACAAATACGTAGGCCTTTGGACTAGGGCAAGTTTTGCTAGTTCTACCCACATTTTTGTTCGAGTGTGACCCTTAGCCAGTATTTTTTGAACGGTGTCCCAGTTTTTTTTCCAAATTATCACTAAACCGCCAACCTTTTCACTAGGAAAATAGTTTAGTCACAACCTTTATTCACAACTTTTGTTCAAAACTCCACATAATTTAATGATTTATTCTTTTTAAATTATTAGAATTCATAATATTATATATATATATATTCACTCATTTAATAACACATAAAAATTATGGTCAAAGGTTATGGGTAAATGATGACTCTCTTTTAAGTATCATAATTTTGCTAATTGCCACCATTTCCCCTATTTTTTGTTATTGGTTGTAGATAAGTTTTTATTTATTTATTTATATTTTATTATACTGGTTTCTTTTATTTTAAATGCATCTAATAGTTGGAAAATATTAATCATCATCATAAAATAAACAATACTCCCCCTGCACAAATTTTGACTTTGTTTTTTACCCTTTTATAATTAAGAATTTTTAAATAATTTATATTTTTGTAAATATTTACCTTTTTTTTTTTAACAAGGTGATACATTATAATAATTCATAAGGGGTAGAGAGGGAGTGATGTTTACCAAACTCAAACTTGAATCACAGTGCACTCACCCATCTTACTATGGATTAGTGTTATTGCCACTATCTTTTTTTTCTTTTCTTTTCTTTTCTTGATAGAAAATATGTATCTTCTAATACTTGTTTCTCAATATCCCAAAGCCACATCAAACCGTGAGACCCATTAACACTACTAGAAAGTTGACCATTTCAATCAGAGCATTTCGGTTAAGCAATTTTTTTGATTGAAAAAACTATTATTTCAGTCAAATTTAATGACCAAAAATCAAGTTTAACAGAAACAAATGGGAAAAGGCATACAATTTGGTCTCATTTTATTTTGGTCAAGACACTTGACCGAATTAATTTGGTGCCAATTGATGCCAAAACCAAATCGGTCAAGTGTCTTGACCGAATGTTGCTTAGCGATTTATTCGGTCAAGCACACTGACTGAATAAGAAAAAGAAAAAAATTCACACTTATTTCTGTATTAAATATTAATAAATAAATTGAAATATTATTAATTCAGTCAAAAATATTGATCGAACTAAAATTCTATCACGATTTTGAATTTGTAACAATTCCCATGCTTGTTTATGCAAATTTCCTACATGTTTCGGTCAGTTATACTGATCGAAACATGCATGGTAAATCTACAGAGCAGATTTTGCAGATTTAGATTATAATTATAGTGACTAATTGATTGATTAGTAAATTATGATTATATTCTTTAATTAATTGATAAATTATGAGTATAGTGATTAATTAGTAAATTGTGATTATATTCTTTAATTGATTGAGAAATTATAATTATATTGATTAATTGATTGATTAGTAAATTATAATTATAATATTTAATTGATAAGCACACTATAATTAATTAAATTGATTAATTTATTTAAAATTATAATTTTTATAGTTGATTGATTAATAAATCATAATTACATATTTAATTGTTAAGTAAGCTATATGATTAATTAAATTAATCAATTAATTAAATCAATTAATTGATTATAAAATTTTGATTATATTGATTAAAAATAATAATTATATTAATTAATTCATTGATAAATATAGATTATTTTAATTAATGAATTGATTGATTACTAAATTATAATTTTATTATTTAATTGATTGATAAATATTGATTATTTTAATTAATTGATTGATTGATTACTAAATTTTGATTATATGGTTTAATTGTTAAGTCAATTATAATTAATTAAATTGTTTAACTGATTAAAATTATAATTAATTAAATCAATTAATTAATTAATTATTAAATTATAATTTTATTATTTAATTGATTGATAAATATTGATTATTTTAATTAATTGATTGATTGATTACTAAATTATGATTATATGCTTTAATTGTTAAGTCAATTATAATTAATTAAATTGTTTAATTGATTAAAAATCATAATTAATTACAATGATTAAAAATTATAGTCAATTGATCAGCAAAACAGAGGAAATATCAAAAAAAGGGAAAGAAAGTAAAAAGCAGGGGACTTTACTACCTATTTTGGTCAATGTCCACGATCGAAATAAGGCAACATTTTCATCTACTAATTCAGTCAAAATCGTTGACCGAATCACTTAATATTTCATTGATCGTGCATAAGCAAACCAATATCTCATTCTAAAAAAAAAGCTTGACCGAAATAGGCAAACACTTATTTCGGTCAAGTAACTTGACCAAAATAATATTCCCCAAAAAAAAAAAAAAAAAAAAACTCCCTTTACCTTTGTCAAAAAATTTGGGGAAAATTTTGAATTTCCCTCTACATATAATTCAGTCAGAATTTATGACCAAAATAATTTCATAAATCTTACTCCCCCGCATTACCATTCGAATTTTTTGTTGGAAAATGTTTGAAAAAACCTTTGACTTTAATTCGGCCAAGCTATTTGACCAAAATAGGCAAACACTTATTTCGATCAAGCTACTGTCCGCCTTCTATTTTGAATTTTTTGGCGAAAACTTTTGAATTTTTCACCGTTTTATTTCAATCAGTTATATTGACCAAAATAACTCCCAACCTATATATATCCCATACCAAACTCTTTTCCTCACTTCTACAACTTCACTTTTATTTCTCATTTCTTTCCTCTCCGGTTCTCTTCCAATATGCCCTTCTTCCCCAACTTCAATATTGTCACACCCCAAAACCCGAATTCGAGGCACGACAGACGCCGTGCACTCGTGAACGGGTCCCACGAATGCACAAGATTCAAAACTTATCCAATTCACATCTGACAATCCCATAACTCAGATCAGATATTTCAAAATTAATTCTTTGTCCAATATGACTTAACTCAAAATCTCCAGATCAAATCTCTTATAACTAACAATCCACTAAATGAATTTATACGATCTCCAATTACAATCTAGTTTGCAATATCGTCATTTACATCTAAAATCCATATTCAATTACAAGATGGCTAGCCTTCTAACTCGTCACTCCTCTTGGTTTCCCCGTCCTCGGTTTTCCTTCCTGAAATGGTGGACAAGGAAAACTATGAGATAACTCAGAAAGTAAATATGGATAGCCCTCGGTAAAAACTTTAGCATGCAAGATAAATAGTTTAACATAACAACCACTCAATAACAAAATCAGATTCGGTTCAATTGCAAAACATTTAATGACAAACCGTCAATGCAAAATCAAATTCAGTTCAATAACAAAACGTTTCATGACAAACCGTTCATGCAGAAGAAAATTCAGTTCAGTAGTCTCATTTATAAGTCATGGCCAGCGTTTATAAACCTCCCACTGGCGGGCACAGTAATGGTACCAGTGTTTAACACACTCCCACTGGCAGGCATCAGTAATAACCAATGTTTAACCCCATTGGTAGGGTTTCAAAAGTACCAGTGTTTACAAACTCCCACTGGCAGGCGTCAGTAATAGTACCAGTGTTTAACAACTCCCACTGGCAGCCGTCAGTAATGACCAATGTTTAACTCCATTGGCAGGGTGAACCAATTCCACAGAGATACATGTCGACATGTGCTAGCGTTTACAGCTCCCACTAGCGGGCGTCAGTAATCATGACTATATCCGAGACAAAACCATGCAGAATTTACAAAAAAACTCAAAATTCACAATCAATCTCCCATTTCAAAAATAAACCGAAAATTTTCCATGTGAGCATGGATTTAACCAAAAACTCAACATTTACAAAACTCTCAGTTCATCAAAACAGTTCAGTCAATTCCAAATAGGCATGCTCAACTCAATGCAACAAAAACAATTTCGTTCCAATCATGCTCAATTCCAAAAAACAATGAAATTCCCGTTTTCATTCCAATCATGCCCAATTCCCGAAAAACAATGAAATTCCCATAAAATCATCACAATTTCCATTTCAGTTTAATCACACTCAAATACTGATAAAATCAATTTAAAATCAATTTAACCTTGCCACCATCTCAAAAACAATTGAAAACATACTTTAAAATCGAAGGGCTTTACCATAATTTACTTACCTCACTTGCATAAAACCGAAGGCTAACCCAAGCACTACGGTGACAGAACGATCAAAACATAATCACAATATTTCACAATTAATACTGCACTATCACAAATTCAAAGTAAAATCATCTTTAACACTACCCCTAATCACAGTGCTATTTCTATCAATCTCCACGTAACCGAACATCTCCAAATTCATTCTTATATCACAAACTAAACCTTTAAATCCCCGTTAATCATTAACCCTCGGTGTGTGAACAGTGAATGTGAACAGTACAATATGAACAGTACATCGTGAACAGTAACTTCAACTCCCAAATTGGCAAAACATAGCTAATTCACGGGGGTTTCACACAATTAACCTCACAACAATCAAATTAAGCTAATTCTACATAAACCAAGCACAAAAACACATTTAATTTACTGCCACATGCTACCGAAATTCATCCCCATTTCTGGCAATTTTCGGACAACACAGGAAAAATTCAAACAACAGCTAAATAGGTGAAATTAGACTCAAAGGAAGCTGTCCATACCGGAATTCAGCAAGCAAAACCGAGCCTAGCAGGGGGGGAAGCCGGCGGCAGAGAAGAAGAAATTCTGCAGGGGAACTCGCGGCTACCCGAAAAACTGGGGGGAAATAAACAGAAATTAGCATAACCCAGCCTAAATCAAGGTTAAAGAGAGGGATTCATGGCTAAATCTTACCAGAAAAAGCCCAAAAACCTCACACCCACATCGCAGAAACTCGCGGACAGTAGGGGAGGAAGACGCAGATCCGAATTCTGCAGATGGGGGGAAGGATTTCTGGGTTCAAGAACAAGAGAAGAAGGGGAAAATCCCCAAGCTTTGCCGGATTTCCGGCCGGAAATGGGTGGCAGTGACCGGGGGGGCTCGTCGGGTGCAGGGGAGAAAAACAAAGCAGAACTGAGATTTTCTGCAGATGGGGGGAAGGAGTCCGGGTTCTATGCTTGTTATTTAACAAGAGAAGAAAGAAAATTTCCAAGCTTTTGCCGAGTTTCTCAAGGGGAAACAATCGGCAACTTGGGGGGCTTTCGGGAGGGAATCGGGTAGAACAGAGCAGGCACGCGGATAAGGAAGAAGAAAAAAGAAGGAAAAAGAAAAGAAAAAAAAGTGATCCTTATCCAAATTTCTTTTCTTTTTAGTCCCTAAACTTTTTACAATTTTATGATTAAGCCCTAAAATAAAATTTTTC